ATTCACTGAATTCCAGATGGGATTAATTAAGTCCCAGTACGGATTCACTGAATCCCTGTTTGGATTCCCTGAATTCCAGTTTGAATTCCCTGAATCCCAGTTTGGATTCACTGATTCCCAGTCTGGATTCACTGATTCCCAGTTTGGATTCCTTGAATCCCAGTCTGGATTGTCTGGATCCCTATCTGGATTTGCTGAATCCCAGTTTGGATTTGTTGAATCCCCGTTCCAATTAGCTGAATCCCAGTTTGGATTCAATGAATCCCAGTGTGGATTGTCTGAATCCCAGTTTGGATTCACTGGTTTCCAGTTTGGATTCCCTGAATCCCAGTTTGGATTTGTTGGATCCCAGTTTGGATTCACTGAATTCCAGATGGGATTCCCTGAATCCCAGTACGGATTCACTGAATCCCAGTTTGGATTTGCTGAATCCCAGTCTGGATTCCCCGGATCCCAGTTTGGATTTGTTGAATCCCAGTGTGGATTCCCTGAATCCCAGTTTGGATTCACTGAATCCCAGTCTGGATTCCCCGGATCCCAGTTTGGATTTGCTGAATCCCAGTCTGGATTTGTCGAATCCCAGTCTGGATTCCCTGGAGCAGAAAATGACCCGAAATGAGCAAAAGCACAAACAAAAATCGCTGCTCCCGCGGGGGCCGGGCAGGGAGGGGCAGCTCCGGCTGGAACAGCAGAATCCCGGGAAAAGGGAATTGGGACAGGGACAAGGATGGACCCCGAGGGGGGCAGCGCTCTCACTCCGACCCTCACCCACGATCCATGAAAATTCCAGGATTTTCCATCTGATCCAAGCTGTGGATTTCTGCTTTTTGGGGTTTTTTTTTGGTGGGGCAGCAGAAAATGAGGATTTTTTCCCCAAAAATCCTCTCTGGATCAGAGCTCTGCTGTTGAATCCCATAAAATTCTTATGAATTCCTCTCCCCATCATTCCCAAAAATTATGATTTATATTAAATTATTGCATTCCAGAGGGTGGAACGGCCACATTCCCAAGGCTCCAGCAGGAATTGCTGGATCCCGGATATTCCACAGCTCCATCCACATGGAAATCTTCCTGGAACTCCCAAAATCCCAGCAATTCCCACCCAAAATCCCAGCAATTCCCACCCAAAATCCCAGCAATTCCCACCCAAAATCCCAGCAATTCCCACCCAAAATCCCGGCAATTCCCACCCAAAATCCCAGCAATTCCCACCCAAAATCCCGGCAATTCCCACCCAAAATTGTCCCCATGCTGTCCCAAATTTCAGGAAAAACGGGAAAAGGGGAGAGGCTCCAGCTGTTTGTCCCGGCTCCTTTCTCCGGGATAATTCCGGATGAATCCTCCCAGCTCTGGGGTTGTGGAAATATCCTGAAGAATTCCCAAGGGATGAGGGGAAATACCTGAAATGACGGCGATTTTCCGCGCCCCGTGCTCCTCCCGGGCGATCCGCTCCGCCTCCTCCATCAGCAGCATTCCAAAGCCCTGGAATGGCGGCAAAAACAGGGGGAAAAAAAGGGAATTTCTGTCAGAATGTGAAGATGGGTTAAAAAAAAAAAAAAATCCGGATTTTTGGGATTTTCGGAATTGCGGGGTCAGAATGTGAAGATGGGTTAAAAAAAAAAAAAAATCCGGATTTTTGGGATTTTCGGAATTGCGGGTCGGGAATATTGCAGGGTTGAGGTCAGTGAATTCCTCTGGGAATTTTTTTTCCTCGTTGTGGAATTTTATTCAGTGGAACGTCCAGAGGCTGGCGGGTTCTCCGTGGCAGGAGCGGGATGGGGTCAAATCCCCTGGTGGGAATTCATCCTGGAATTCCACACGGGAAATTCCCAGGGCCAGAGGGAGGTGGGACATGGGGGAGGAATTCCTGCCCGGGCTGGAATTCCCAGAGAATCCCTGGCAGTGTCCAAGGAATGGTTGGATTGGGGTGGGAATGGGATGGGATTGAAGCTCCAGGGATCCCATCCCAAACCATTCTGGGATCCAGGACACTCAGGATCCATCCTGAGGGATTTTTGTGGAATTCGGGGATGGAAAAGGGAAGGGAGATCCACAAGATTCCCAGAGAATTCCTAAAATTCCTTCCCAGAGAGGATGATCCCAAAATTCCTTCCCAGAGGAATTCAGGATGGGGATGGATCCAATGCCAGGAATGGAAAAGGGAAGGGAGATCCACAAGATTCCCAGAGAATTCCTAAAATTCCTTCCCAGAGAGGATTCAGGATGGGGATGGATCCAGTGCCAGGCTGGGAGAGCTGGGAATGGAAGGAATTCCCTGGGAAAAGGGGAGGAATTTGGGAAGGGATCCCCAGCTGGGCTGGAATTCCCAGAGAATCTCTGGAAGTGTCCAAGGAATGGTTGGATCGGGGTGGGAATGGGATGGGATTGAAGCTCCAGGGATCCCATCCCAAACCTTCCAGGATTCTGGGATCCAGGACACTCAGGATCCATTTTTTAAAATCCCACAAAGGAATTTTTTGAAATCCCAGAAGGGAATTTTTTAAAATCCCAGAAAGGAATTTTTTACAATTCCACGAAGGAATTTTTTGAAATCCCACAAAGGAACTTTATAAAAATCTCAGGGAATTTTGTCAGACCTCGGCGCTCCCGCAACGGCTGCAAGGCGATCCCAAAGGGAAAAAAACCCCAAAACCTGGGAAGCAACAGAATTCCAGCAAAACCAGGAGCTCAAATCCCATCCCGGCTCCATCCCAACCCGGAGGAAAAGAGTGGAATTAAACAAAACTCCAATTTTTTGTGGGGGGAAGAGACGGAATGAGGCTGGGATGAGGGAATGAGGCTGGAATGAGGGAATGAGGGAATGAGGGAATGAGGCTGGAATGAGGGAATGGGGCTGGAATGAGGGAATGAGGCTGGAATGAGGGAATGAGGGAATGAGGGAATGAGGGAATGAGGCTGGAATGAGGGAATGAGGGAATGAGGGAATGAGGGAATGAGGCTGGAATGAGGGAATGGGGCTGGAATGAGGGAATGAGGCTGGAATGAGGCTGGAATGAGGGAATGAGGGAATGAGGCTGGAATGAGGGAATGGGGCTGGAATGAGGGAATGAGGCTGGAATGAGGGAGGAATGAGGGAATGAGGGAATGAGGCTGGAATGAGGGAATGGGGCTGGAATGAGGGAATGAGGCTGGAATGAGGGAATGAGGGAATGAGGGAATGAGGGAATGAGGCTGGAATGAGGGAATGGGGCTGGAATGAGGGAATGAGGCTGGAATGAGGGAATGAGGCTGGAATGAGGGAATGGGGCTGGAATGAGGGAATGAGGCTGGAATGAGGGAATGAGGGAATGAGGGAATGAGGGAATGAGGCTGGAATGAGGGAATGAGGGAATGAGGCTGGAATGAGGGAAGGAGGAGAGGAGG